TGAATTTTGTTTCGGAACACCTTTCAACCCATATTTTGTTTGGCGAAATATTCTTAATTAAATATTAGGCCACTAATGTATTACTCACTTCCTCTTCTTAAACCACTATTGTAGTGTCTCTTGGTTAGATGCAAAAATGTTTTAACGTTTAGATAAAATTTTTGGGAATTAAATCAAAATCTAGAGATTTTATACATATTATATATTGCCCTCAGATCCTGCAATGTACCTATAACTCTACGTTTAATCTTATTTGAAAAAAGAGAAGTTTTTTTTATCGTAACTTACCACCTCTAATTATCCCCCTTCTTTAATGATGTACTGGAATTCCGTTAAAAATGATTTGGTAACCAGGTGCGGTAGATCGGTAGAATTTTGTCCACTCGAAAGCCCAAACAGCCATCTCAGAAAAATTTCTTTGAGCTTACGCAATTTTGAATGAAAAATATTAATATTTGTGAAACTATTGAGGTCAGTCTTTAACCACTGAAAAAGTAGGCGCTTGATATTCAGTGGATTCATGTTTTCAGATGAAGAGCTATGGTGAACATTGTATACACATGAGATATCGATGTGCAATTGTGCATAGGTCCTTTGCTCCCCAATAAGCTGCTCATTTATCGGAACCGCCGATATCGGATCACTTTAGTATATATGTGGCTGTTATACAAACTGAACGATATGAATCATGTGCTTGTATGGAAAACTTTTTCATTTCACCAGATATATTCAACAAATTCAGTATGAATTATTGCTCCAAGGCAATCTCCATAGAAATTATTCAGATCGAACCACTACAACATATAGCTGCCATACAAACTGACCGATCAAAATCAAATTCTTTAAGGAACCGTTTGTATTTGTGAAGGGTATTATAACTGTATTTTTAGAATTGTCTCCTAAATTAGTTAAATAATTCTTATTACTATATACTAAAACGTGGTACCGAGTATAGTAGATTGGTGCAATTAGGCCGTTTTGTGGCGCAGTAGTCCTGAATCCTGTAAAAATACAATAATTAAGTAAAAAAACTAAAGCAATTTTTATTTTATCTACTCTCATTTCTAATTTCTTTTATTAGATTAAGATTTTGTTGAAAAATAGTTTCTCTCTAGTCAATAGCAAAATTTCAAAACGAAAATTAAGATACAAAATTTCATTGTATCTAACCCACTGTGCCACCGCCTCCTGCGTCGCTTCGGGGTTATGCTTGTTCACATTGGGCTTCATTCGTCTTGCTTGTAGAACATTTGTACGAGTGTTTACATAAGGATAACAAAAACAACAGTAAGTCAAAGAGAGCGCAACGCATCTCGAATGGTCACAGAGTGCGATTACGTGGCTGCTCGTTTGTTGCACCAACGCCAAACGATGCCAACTGCAGTCTGTTTGTCTCGCTGCCTAACCAAACCAACATTTACACGTTTACATTACGACCGTGCAACTGCACACACACACACACTTGTATGCGCGGTGTTTATTTGTTTGTTGGCAGCAACTTGTGCCGAATTGATTTCAGTAGGTTGATGCTCATTGTATTAGCAGTTAGTGCGACTTTGGAAAGTTTGAAACGTCATGCAGCAACTGGTTTAAATTGTGGCATGCGATACACAGGGACACGCATACACACACACACCCGTGAGATTACACAAAAACTTTCAATAGACAACAACAGGAGTAGAATGGAGTCAAATAAACAAGCATAGACAAGTGGACGGAGGGTCAGGCGAGCCGGCGGGCGGTCAAAATGTCAAGCAGCCGCACAGTGGTCGGAGTTGTGGCAACTATGGCGCTTGTGCCGCGTCGGGCGGCAAGCAAACGGCGACTGTACATATTTAATATTTGTTTACGCGCTGCCAAAAGCCATTCATACACACACACACACACATGCAAACCTACAAACGTGCATGCGTGAGTATTGTAAGGCAGCGCTGCCATTGCTGCAACAAAGCACAGAGTACAATGGCATTGCCACATTGCGAGCGACTGTTCGAGTTTATGTCACGGCGTCTATACAGCGCGCTGCCATTTGCAGCAGCCAACATGGAGCGCACACACACACATATATATACTTTTATAACATGTGTGGGTATGTGTGTTGCAGAAGGAAGTGGTCGTTTGGCTCCGGCATTCAACTTGCTTTTGACTTCTGAACACACCCACACACATGCACACATACACAAGCACGCGCTCACAAGCCAAAGCAGCTATCTATTGACGAATCGAAAGGGAAAGGGCGTGCCGCAAAGCATTGTCCTCTGACTGCTCCACTGCATGCATGCCACACGCACATATACAACAGCTGCTGTGAACACAAATTTAGATACGCTTGTTTTTCTGCCGCTTCGGATGTCGCCAACAGCATTGATGCATTTCCATTTCGCCAGAGCAAAAAGAAATACTAAATTTCCTTGTTGCAACATTGATCCTCTTCCGTTGTCTCGCCGCTGTTGCGTGCAACTTTTGTTGCTTTCTATGCCAATTGTTGTTGTTGCTCTTTACTTACTGCTACACCAAATCGTACTCCGGCCTTGTTGTTGTAGTAGCTAACTGCAGCCGACGTGACATTTTCCATAAAAAAGTTCACGGAAAGTTTTTAGAGCAGCGCACAACAAAAACAACAACATATGCTGTTTACTGGCATCTTAAACTGAGGAAGCTGCGTTTTTCCTCTCATGTTTATGCCAGTTAAATAACAATAGTTGGTCGGTGGGTTCTTAGTGTGCACACATGTGCGGGGTCATAATGCAGTTAACTGGAGTGGCATCAAGTGGCGCTGAAATGCCGCGGTAAACATATTGTAAATACTGGATTTTTTATTGGTTTAGTTTAAGTATTAAATTGTAAAAATAATATTTTCTACTTTATTGGTGGTTTTGGACGAGCTTCTCTACAGTAGTGTGCCATTTTCTTGTTTTTGTTTGTTGGAACCATTGGTACCATTTTTAATGCAAACACTCCTATATATAATATGTAAGTAACTTCTGCTATTTATACTCTTGCAACATGTTGCTACAAAGTAAACTAGTTATGTACACCTAACGGTTCTTTGTATCACCGAAAGCTAATCGAGATAGACATAGAGTTGCATATATATAAATAATCTGGATGACGAGACAAGTTGAAATCCGTTTGACTGTTCCGCGCAGGCTGTTACTTGAGTAAAAATTAAGATATCGTGATGAAACTTGGTACACATGTTCCTTGGCACCATAAAAAGGTCCCATAACGTCGACATTACTTCATTACAGCCAAATCAGACGAAAACCACGCCCACTTCTCATATAACACAATTTTAATCACTTTCCAGTATAAAAATCAAGACCCCACCAATGTATCCGGCTAAAACTTTGCACGAATAGTGCCTTAGTATGCCACTTTATAACCAAAAATTTTTCAAATTTGACCATAACTTTTCAAGCATCCAGATACCGAATAGTGGGGTGCTTCACTTCATATTGCGAACTTTTATCAAAAATATCGGTCAATGCGTTAGATATTTAATAGAATAGGTTGAGTTGGGTCAACACTTCGTTGAGTGAGCGCGTGTTTCTAATGACCGTGCATCTTTGTGCACAAAATAGATAAAATCGGGTGAAAACTTGATTTAGCTCCCATATAACTAGCTTCAGAATTTTCAAATATTTACTCTTTAAATCTTATTTTGTTAATAATATGTAATATTGCCAAAATAAAAGAGTTCCATATACCTAATATAAGAGGTAAAAACTTCCGATTGGGTTTTATACCGTATATATCAGTCAATATATAAATCTTTGTAAAATTAATTGAATGCATAACATTTCATATACTATAGTTTAATACCGATAATATGTGAATTTGATCTACGCATTACCTCGACGTACGTATTCTCCCACCGACTTTGGTCGAAACCTCATATCCCTAATATAATATTTATAATGAATTTCGATTCTATGGTTGACGTTCTCTATCTCAATATATTAAAATTAGCATCTTTGGTTATGTTTATATCACATAGATTCTATTTGAAGATGATTTTATTGTAATTTTGCAATCAAATTAAGTGGGTCTATGATGATCTATAATATAACTTAATAAAATACTAAACTTAATTTTATTCGATTCACGATTACGTCTAATAATGTATGTTGAATTCTTCGTCACATTTTTTAATATAAAGTTTTGCCAACACCCGAAGGTATTTTCCCGGCTTTGCTCCTTTCGAGTTGCAAATGTATAAAATGTTTAGTTACACCCTATCTTAGCCCTTCCTTACTTGTTTTAGACATGTGGTTTTCAATGAGGGAATACTTTTTCGGTGCTGGTATTTTGGACAGCTGTTACTCGATTTATACTCAGTTAATTTTGCCATTTCATAATGAACAGATTTACTGCGGAACAACATTTGCAAATCGTGCAAATTTATTACCATACTAATGTTTCGGTTCGCGCGACAATTCACGCGCTGCATCAAATATTCAGTCGACATAATTGCCCAGCAGAATCGGTAATTCGCGCAACCATGAATCGGTTTCGCCCCACGTTTACTTTAGTGTATATTGCTGCTGTCGAACGGAGTATCGAAGAAGACCTGAATGAGTCTAACCGCCATCGCCCACAACAATAGGTGCTGTAATCCACTTTATAGAAGATTTTGCGGTTTACAGATTTACAAAATCTAACTTGTGCAAGAATTAAGAATATAGAAGAAATTTTTGTTCAACTACATCGTTGACTTCACTTTTGGTTGAACGGGAGTGATGATAATCCACAAGTCATTGTTGGGACGTCATTACATCTTCAAAAATTCATTGTTTGGTGTGCTCCATGGGCAGAGGTAATCACTGGTTCATATTTATTCAAATATTAAGCAGGCCATAATGGTACAGTCACTTATGAACGCTATTAATACGGGATTTGGCAACCTTAGTTTTGCAATCTGGCAACTCACAACTTTATCGTAAAATTTATCATTTTTGATGTTATACATACTCAGAACGTTTTGACATACGAGCAATATTTAGGTTGTTAACAATAACTTAAAATATTCATCTTGGCCAAAAAAATTTAATTAAACCGCGAATCGCGAGGTTTTTTTGCAACTTTCAAGGTGCATTAACTCAGCAACAAAAGGTCAACGTTATTCGGCATCAGAAGTGGCAGATGAAGCATATTTTGGAGATACCACAATCAGAGTGGCAAAAGTGTTTCGAAAATTGGTTTAAACGTATGCAAAAGTGTATATATCTGCAGAATATTTTGAAAAACACTAAAGTGATTTTTGATTACAAATATTTGTTTTTGTTCTTTAATACCGAAATATAAAAGGCAAACCTCGTAAGACCATCATTAATGGCCATCGTGTCTGTATTGGAGGATGTGAATGTGGTTCACCTTTGGTTCCAAAAAGACGGCGCTACATCCCATACAGCCATCGATACATCAATACATTTATTGAAGGAAATATTTGGTGAGCGCATTATCTCACGCCAAGATCGTGCGATTTAACACCGCTTGTCTACGCAGATAATCGGGAGACAATTGACGCCTTGGAAGAGAATATTCGACGCGTTATTTCTGACATACGGCTCCTATTTGTAAGAAAAGTGGTCGCAAATTGAGTTTCCCGGCTGGAATTTATACATTTTCCCGAAATCTTTTTAAAACATAATGGCAAGCACTTATCTTTATAATAAAGCTAAATTCTTGACCATAACATTAAATTATATGCGTTTTATTTTTTCTTGAAAACCACATAACTAAAAGAAGCATTCTTTACATAGTATATATACAATTACTATTCCACGCAGATTGTCTTCGTGGTGTGGTGATAACCATAAAAAATCAATTTTGTCTGATTTATGGAAATATAACGAATACGTTTTAATTTTTTTTTGCTAGATTTTAAAAATTTTCGGCAAACAATCAGACCAAAATTAATATATATATATTTTTTTTTAAAACTCCAAGGAGACTGAATTGCTCCACGCTAAAAGTAATTTTTCTACGAGAGGGCGCCATTTACATTGATGACATACATTTTGTAGTTCAGTCTAACATTAGTCTATTCATAATTAGTTCATGAGAAATAGCGTTTTGATGCAATGCAATTTTTTTTATGTATAAAATGCTATTGATCCTAAAAAGTAGCTTGATGAGTTTTATATGGACTTTAACAACCATTCTATCTTTCAATCAAATCCATCAAAACGATAACAAAAGTGCATGAATTGGCCCCAGCTACTCCCAATACTCAAACCTGAAAATAATTCTCGCTGGAAAGCAATTTCTCAACAACGAAGAAGCAAAGGTCTATTTTGTAATAAAGGATAAATAGTACCACAAATATAACTCTCAATGTTAACTACTTTGAATAAAAACACTAAAATGCAAAGAATATAGTCTTCTTTAAAGAGCTACCAACTTTTCAGTCTAGTCTAGTCTTTGTAATACTAAATCAAATTTCGAATACTTATATTTTGGTATAAAATAACATTGCACCAATTGCCTTAAATCACTTAAACTATGTAGCTCAACAGTTAATAGTATATATATATAATATTTATGTGTAGTTTGTCTGTGCAAATTCATCGGCTATTCCGTCAAACACCTGTGCTAAATGTATACATCACTGGAAAAAAATATTAAAATCATTTAATTTCTCAATTAAAATGCGGCAGCAACACCCGCAGCAGCTGCAGCTTCGAACAACACAGCGACACTATCAACACTATTGATCGAGCAAATAAAGTCGCGTCTGCACTTCACCTCCGTAACACCGGCAAACACAAGCCAAATATTTAACTCAGTGCCATTGACTTCTATCCAGAGGATTTTTTGCTGCAACACTTTGTTTGCTTTGTGTCGGCGCATAAAATCCTTTGAACTACACTAAAAGTGCTGCTAGCGGAGCATATGCCACCTGCGGCACTATCATGGCGCTGGCAAATAATATGCCAATGAAAATGCAAAATAAAAGTAACTTTTAAAGAAAAACGACACGCAAAAGAAAAACGCAGATTTTGCAAAAAAACAAAAAAAAAACTTTAAAAAATTCAAAGTGAAAACCAAAAACGAAAAGCAAGCGAAAAGCCTCAACTTCAAAAAGTGCACATGACTTTATGAATTTTTTAAAAATGTTGACAAATATGTTCATCATACGCCCAGGCAAACCTCAGCGAGGTCGTTGTGTGAAGAGCAGCGCTTAACATGCATACATATGTATGTGCATATAACGGTATTCGTGTAAGTGCCGCTATTATCTGTGCATGCAGTCAGTCAGTAAGTCAGTCATCATTGCCACTGCTCGTTAGTCATCATCGCTGTCAGCGTCCCAGTCGTCGTTGTAGGCTGTCACGTAGCATTTACTGCATACAGATTTGTTGCTATGAGTTGCACTTCATTTTTTATTCGTTTTGCTCGGCAAGTTCACTGCACTGCCAAAAGCCTTTCCGCCACACAGCGCAAATACAACGTGCATTGCACCTGCCCTCCGCGCACCAGCCACGTCCGTGCGCCGCACCCGAATCAGAGGATATTCACGGCAACCGTCGTAATGCTATTTACATTTTCATTCACTGCCGCATGCCACATGCCGCATGCCAGTTTTACTATGCGCACCCATTTTCAAATGCTGGTGGCTGCCTGAATCGTTGCATTTTATTGTTGCAATTAATAAAAGAAGAGGCAAAAAAGTGAAACACGAAGTAATGCAGCAGCTATTCGAGGCATCCATGCAATCACTGCCACAACTGCCTGCCACATTGGCTGACACTTGCAGTCGCGTCCAAACATGAGCTTTTACGTCGAGCTTTTACTCACACTTTCACAAGGGCGCGCGCGCGCCACAGCATAACACAGCACAGCGGCGTCAACATATTGCCCTGGCATTATCCTGTACCAGCACCAACATAAGCACACTGCCGCCGGCCCGGCGTCATGTAACGTCTACAAGTTGCCCGCTGCTACTAGCTTGTATGCCACTGCCACTGTTGCCGCTACATTGGCATGCACAACAATTTGCTGACTTTAGTAGGACTTTAGTATGCGCGAGCGCGCGGTATGAGTTGGAGCGCGTGGTGGCGCCTCACTTCGGTGTAGCTTTGCCCACGCGCCACTAGCTCCTTCGGCCATATCCTTGTCAGCAACAGTGCCGCGCTGTTAGTGTGCGCGCATAGTAGCGGTGGCAGTAGTAGAGTAGTAGTAGTAGTAGTAAACTCGTAGTACGAGTGTAGTAATTTTGTGAATGAAACGGCAGTGGCTGTCTACTTCGGGTGGCGGCAATACGCTGCAGTTGACTTTTATTTGTTTTCGTATATTTTACCGCGGGACGGGTCTATTTTTAATTTATAATTTTTTTTTTTTAATTTCTTTTAGTTTTTTAGCAATGTTGTTTTTGTTTCAAATGTTGTTGTTATCGTCAGCGACTCGAGACTCTGCAGACGGGCGCGCACTTGACTGCCGCGCATTGCCGCTATTTGAAATATTTAATATAGTTAAACAAGTTAATTAGTCGCCGCTGAATGAATGCTGAATGATGCGAGGAGGCCTGCAGACGTTCAACTATTCAACGGCAATGGATGGCACTAACAATAATTGCAGCAACTACAATAATAACAGCAATATCAGCAGTCGCCATATTAAGGAGTCTACGCGTTGCATAGAACGCGGCAGACATTTTAAGTGTTGCTGCTATACCATGGGTATATTGCGGCATGCGGCGGCATATTTGTGTACTAAGTGATGAATTTTGCTGACATTGCGCCGTCTCTACGTCACATCCGTCGCCAACGACTTTTTATCATTATTTTACATGAATGGGTGTTTTTGCTGCTTCAATCAGACTAGGCTATAGTCGCGCGTAAAGACTCTTAAAACAATGGAAAATTAAAATTTCTTCATTCATTTCACTCTACTAAGCGTCACAGCTGCCAATGCAATATTTTCTAATTTCTATGTTTCTATGTTTTGTTTTTGTTTAATGCTATGCAGAGAGGGCAACCAGCTTAGCCGTTATAATACTTAAATTAAAATAATTTATTTTTAAGCGTTTTAATAACGTACTAGAGTTAAAATCGGTCGACTGCAACGAAATTGTGTAACGCAACGAAAAGCAGTCACACTCGCGTATACGAAGCACAACTAAAGTTTAGCCTTCACTTCACTATTTTACGTGTTTTTTCGAATGATTTACGAAATTTAAAAATGTTGTCACCTATTAAAAATTAAAAAAATTAGAAAACCCAGTAAAATGGCTATTAAGCCAAATGAGCAACTCATAAGGCCTACACAAGAGCTTCGATTAGAAATGTCAATTAACTTTAAGAAACTCATAGAAACTTTAACAGAAGGCTTTATTAGCGCTTTTGGGTAATTAACCGCTGATTTTACAGATAGGTGGCTTGCAGAGTTTATTATCATATGGGTTCAAGTAGGTTTACAATTAAAAATTTTTTTAAAAGGGTTGCCAATGGTTTACATTTTTCTTAAAAATCAAAAAAATAATATTTATTTCAGTTTTGATAGCATATTAAAGAGGTTTAAGAAAAACTTATGTTCGTTATAATATTTATATTTTTAAGATTTACCGTCTCTTATTAATATTTAAAACTCAATAAGTTCACTCATTCAGTATTGCTCTCAATTTGTTATAGAGAAGTCGGAATACTATAATCGAAATAATAGCTTCACATTCTGCAATTTCTCGTTAATTATGTTAACCGGGTACTTGGAAATATGCTCCTTGATTTGTAACATGTTGTCAAATGGGAAAAAATGTAAAAAAATTCTTAATCCTGGAAAAAGCAGGAAAAATAAATTCAATATGTTTTTTGAAATGTCAGCATTTGTGTGTGTTGTGATTTACTACTCGACTATGAAGTCTGCTGAATAAAGAATATAGCTATTAAGCAGCATAAGAGATGACAAGAGCTTTTAAGCTTTTGACCAAAGCTGAAGTCTGTTCTTTAAGAACCTTACATATTCTTACTTTCAACGGAATTTTTCTTACGTTTTTAATGCCAGAGGAACCAGAAGTTGGTGTTTACTTTTACTGTCCTTAAATATATGTTTTCTCCTGATAGACGTTAGAAATGCTTAAGTAATTTTTAGCGAGGTTACTATAGTCCGACACTGAGCGGTTTCTGTTGGGTTCGTGTCAATCATAAACTTCAAATGTTTCTCTAATTGATTTGTTTTTAATATAGAGCAGACTTAAACTTTCTTTCCACTTTAAGATGTGGATTATGTATAATAGATCTATATGGACGAAATGTCCAGCTAGTTGAGATCACAAGGTTCATGTTTCTACATCTTGCTTTATGTGATATTCATTAATGGGCAATTTATCTGATTCAATGTTAAAATTCAAGGGATCCATGGTAGAATATTTTAGTGAGAGAGATGTCCCTCTTAAAGAGAGAACTGTTGCTGGGTGATCTGAGTACTTTGTTGCTTCTATATAGCTGCTTTGTTTCAGTTTTGAAACATGTGGTTTTCAAGAAGTTAAAATTTGATGGCCAAGAATTTAACTTTATTCTAAGCATAAGGGTTTGCGATTATGTTTTAAAAATGATTTCTCGCAAGTGACCTTCGAATAAATTTCAGACAAAAGGCCACTTTTTACAGCAATTCAGGCCGTATGTCAGCAATAATGCGCCGAATATTCTCTTCTAAGGCG